CTTCCTGTTTCAGTTTTTTAACACTACATAAAAGCTGGGATAAAATACAACCAACAGAACATTTAAAACTGAATCAAAAAGTTAAACAAACATCTTTAAGATGTTTTCTTTACATGTGAAATAAAGAAAACAGTTACAAACTGAATCAGGAAGTGCTTCTGGACCAGTGTTGTTTACATCTTGTGAAATGGTCTATACTGATTTTATTTGCTCTGATTCCCGGTTTTATTAGTACTTGTATCTGAGAGATTGCCTTTCGGGGCTTAAACTGCTTCTTTGTTTTCTGTGAATGTGATTTTGTGAACCAGTTACATGTTTAAATTCATTTATTGAGCCATTTAACGTTTGATAATTCATTTTAATAACATTTCTTTGTCTTTGAATTTTACCAGAGTGTTGTTTTTTTAGGGAGGGTTTTTCTGACTTTGTCAGTTAAGGGATGTCAAGAGTTAATTCTGAGTAACTTCATAATAAGAAAGTATAGATTATTATTCTATTTTATCTAAAATAAACTTTATTCATGTTGTGACAATGGAGGGGCCCAACTACAACATCTATACACATGTAGTTATTGAATTTTTGGCAAGAACGACAGGTAGGGGGCGTTACATTATTTTAGCCTTTAGTTCCTAATAGGGGTGCACGATTCAGAAAATGTCACGATTCGATTCGATACCGATTTTTTTTTTTTTTTTTTTTTTTTTTTTTTTTTTGTCTCGAGATTCGATTCAAAATCGATTTCCGATTCAAAAACGATTCTCGATTCAAAAAATGATTCGCAGGTCTATATAAATGTAGTTTACTTTTTCCTATGTGATTGATTGCAGTAGACATAATTTAAAAGAAAAGTTTGATATTACTTTATATGTCTTCATACAAAAATAAAAACTTTTGCAACTAAAAAGTGTGAAGTGCCAAGCTTTGGCCAGCTTTTAAATACATTTAATTCAAGTTTAAAATAAAACTTAAATAAAAAGCTTTTACATAGCTTTAAAGTGCTGTAGTCAGATCAAACAAACAATTATGCTAAATGTGGTTTAAAGGGTTAGTTCACCCAAAAATGAAAATTAAGTCATTAATTACTCACCCCCATGCTGTACCAACCCCGTAAGACCTTCGTTCGTCTTCGGAACACAAATGAAGATATTTTTGATTAAATTTGAGAGCTGTATAACTACCACATTGGCTCCTAAGGGACTGCCTCTTGACGGCCCAGAAAGTCAATGAAGAAAATGTTTAAATATCCCAAGTGACTACCGTGGCTCAACTATATGTTTATCAAGCGACGTGAATACTTTTTGTGCGAAAAAACAATAAAAAATAACGAGTTTATTCGACTATTTCTTTTCTTCCTTGTAGGCCAGAACGAGACTTCCTTATAGATTTCCACGACGCATGCGCGAGATTTGCGATCTGCGTACAACAGCTTACACTACTTCAGATCGCAATTCTCGCGCATGCGTCGTGGAAATCTATAAGGAAGTCTCGTTCTGGCCTACAAGGAAGAAAAGAAATAGTCGAATAAACTCGTTATTTTTGTTTGTTTTTTCGCACAAAAAGTATTTGCGTCGCTTGATAAACATATAGTTGAGCCACGGTAGTCACTTGGGATATTTAAACATTTTCTTCATTGACTTTCTGGGCCGTCAAGAGGCAGTCCTTTAGGAGCCAATGTGGTAGTTATACAGCTCTCAAATTTAATCAAAAATATCTTCATTTGTGTTCCGAAGACGAACGAAGGTCTTACGGGGTTGGTACAGCATGGGGGTGAGTAATTAATGACTTAATTTTCATTTTTGGGTGAACTAACCCTTTAAGGAGTAGGCCTACTTCAGCTACCAGGTTGACTGTTGAAATGTGAACTCGACTGGGCACATTGAACTTCCTAAAAAAATATACTAATTTCATAGAACCCTTGCGAAAATATTTTAAATAGATTTAAAAAAGCCACCGCTACTGGTAACATCTATGGTTAGATTGATTTGTTTAGATCCAGTGAAGTCGTTCATAGGCGCGTAATTCGCGGGTATCTCCAGTTAACTAGCAGAGCATTCATTTAGTTCGCTATTAAATAAGAGATCTGTTGTTTTTGAAATCAAGCTGAGCGCTCGTGTCCGCTGCGATCAGTGTCATGGATACAGTTCTCTGTGGCTCGCGCAGTCTTCTCTCGGACGCGCGCTTCAACCTATCGCCGTTGTGGAGACTCCGGTGAAATCACAAAATAAAATGCAATGCACACAAACGTGATGAACATATTCGGTTTTGATGAGAGAGAGAAAAAACTATACGAGTGCGGTTTAGAACCCGTAACCTCTGACACGCTTGGCAAAAGATCTACAGAACTCAAACATAAGATCTGCGGATCGATGCATTTATTTACGGGTTGAGAAGAGTGGCTGCACAGTTTGACCAGCGGGCGGCAAGAACTTGCAATAACTATTTATCAGACCAGCCCTCGCAGCCTCGAAACCATAGAAACACTACCGGACCACCGGTAAAAGTCCCGACTTACCCGATTGCCACTCCGCCCCTGCACGCCATTAAAAAATATAGCCTATATGAATCGATTTTTGGAATTCTATGAATCGATTCTGAATCGGTAAAGATTGAATCGCGATTCAAATGTGAATCGATTTTTTTTTGCACACCCCTAGTTCCTAAGCATGTATTACATTTTATCTTTTACAGTAAAGGAGTAAACAAGTCAAGTGGCGTGTTATCTATTCGCTTTTTGAGCTATCCGCGTGTATGTCTTCGCCGTTAAATATCTGAGTGATTCCGCGTGTTTGTACACGTCGTTAAATGTCCGAGCGAAGCGACGCAAAATGTAGATCTACATCTGGGGAGCGATATTTTTTTCCTAGGATGGCAGGGGAAGACTCATAAATGGTATTAACCCCAGTGAAGGGTAGGTTTAGGGACGGGGTTGGGGAAGGTCATAGATTTAAACAGTAATGTAACGTTAAGTCAACGGCGTTCATAAACACGCTGAAAAGTGATTATGCGTGTTGATAGCACGCCAGAAATGGAAATATGAATTGGAGTATCATACATACGCCATTTCATGAGATCAGTCTGCTTTTTATTATTTCTATTCATTAAAAATAAACACGTTCTAGTTTGCAAAAGGGCTTACTGCACTAATCATTTTTTATGGTGTTAACTTTGAGTGGCTACGCTTTTTTTCTTGTATAGACTGTTCTAGTTTTTGTATGATTCAGTGGCCAGTTTGCTACCATAGGTGGTGTTGCTATGCAGCTTTCCCTGTTTAATATAGCCTACAAATGGGGGATTTATTATTTTAAAATAATGATAATCAAGTAATTTTTAACCCTGATCCTAACCCTAAAATATTTAAAGGAATAACAATGGTAAGGTCTAATTCTAGCCCTATTTAAACTATTTGCAAATAATTTAAGAAACACTGTTTTAATGGAAAATGGTTGCATATTGTCAGAATTTGGCCCTTTTTTTTACAGCAAGGCTTAAACACACAGGATGACATTTTTCACCCGAAGTGACCGTTTTTATTGATAATATTATCAATAAAAACTGTCACTTTGGGTGAATAATGTCATCCTCTGTTCTGTCTTTAAAACTTCTCGACGTGTCGTGCATGCAATGTAAATAAAGCAGTTGCATCAATGAAATGAGAGTAAAGTTAGTCCATGGTCACACCCCCGTGCTAATAGTACCGCCCATGGTGCAAATTAAAAGCCGAAAATTAAAATCAGTTAATTTAACCATATGTTTGTTTCTGAAGTCACAATTTAGCATAAGTAAAATTGAAAAAAGGGAGTAAAGGGCAACTATCTATTGATAATGTAACTGGAAAAACAAGAAAAATGTCTGGTTTTCATATTTGGACTGTATGGTCTGAAAATTGAATTGTGAAGCGTTACACGGCACAGCAAAACATATTTGACAGCCACTGACCCAGTCAGTTTGGCACTGTAAATCAGAAACATTTTTTGACGCATGGATTCCCTGTCAGTCATGAGTGACACGGGCCATAAATCTAACAAATTGGGTTATAAATCAAACGTTACAGAACTTTTTAATATTTAATTATTTTAAATAAACTGCAATGGGTATCCCTTGAAGGTGGCAACCCTACCATTGTGTCAGCAAATGTTTCCCAAAACTATGAACGAGTGAAATATTTCATTACTTTTAGTCATGTTCAGACAGACAGTGTTCCAAGATAAGGATTTTTATAATTATTATCATGCAAGATGTAGCTTATATAAAAATAACATTGTCATGATAATCTTTGATTGTGTGTTCATATTTTTTTTTTCTTTTGCACAGTGAAATCTTTCAATTCTTGTGCGCCCGTCAAAACCCAACAACAGAGTATTTGCTGCTGGGTCGTGAACCCTGGAATATCCAAAGCAGCCAACCTGGCCTGTACACACATTGTACATGCAAATATGGGAATAGTGTACACAAAAGCTGACCAAAACCATGCCTAATTTGGAATGGAGGAACTTTTGTGGTGTGGTAAACATAACATTATTTACGAGTGAGCAATTAGTGCTTAGCTAAAGCAAATTTGCAACACTTGTCCCTAGAAGGACCTTGGCTTTTATGGACTGAAATTACAACAATAATAATTATTAAAAAAAAAAAAACATGAAACAAGTTTATTGCTGAATTAACTAGACTAAAGACTTTTTTTGCTAATGTTGTACCTATCACTGAGAAGCGGCAATTTAAGGCCTGTTAAATCGATCCAATGGCGGTACTCGATTAGAGGTGAAGGTCTCACGCATGTTCTGTCTCTTCCCATGGCAAAGGGGTTTTTAATTTTTAAATGCAATACATTTTATCTTATGTATTAATTTGTTACATCCGATTCCATAAAATGAAAAGGTTTTTCAATTATATCTGTGCATCATTGAATACGTTCACATTTGACTATAACATTTTAACTCTAATGAAATAAAGTTAAAGTCTGTTAGAATAATTAAAAATAACAATTTATTATGTCAGGTAAATGTATTATTACAATTCCACGAATGCCACAATTCCAATGCAAATCATCAAATGTTCTAGAACAAAGAGGAAAATCCTTTATTATGAGACAACGACACAGCATCATGGGCTGATCTGATACAGAAACAGCCCTGAGCTCTTATTCCATTTTCCTTATATAGACAGGCCTCATTTCATATCTAAGCATGGGTTTCCAGTGGAAATTTACCTGTGGGTAACCATTTGCTAGTGGTAATTTGCATTCAGACAAATGGTCAGAAAGTGTTAACTCGGACACGTGTGCAAGATATTTCTATATTCTTAAGAACTTTATTACCATTTGATTTACTTCTTTGGTAATGAGACATAAGTACCAGTCACCCAGAGACCTTTATAATGATACTAAACACAATCCTTAAAGATAACCATTCACATTAAAACCATATATTCTTGTGTGAGTTTTGAGAGAGAGAGAAATATAGATAAGGTGCTCAAAGGAAGGGGGGTAGGGGGTCAAATGTTAATTTCCAACAAGATCCTTTTGTTTCATAGACCACTGGTCGGATATTTTCTCTACAACCAGTTTTTTTCAGCCTTACAGCAGTCTGAGCAAAAGATGTTTTACAGAATAAAATTTTACAATCGCTGCTAGAAGCCGCTCTGGTGGATCTACATAATGGAAACAAACAAAATGAGCAAAACTTAGAATCTTATATTTACAATAATATATCTTATTTGCTTCCTAAACTTTTCAAGGCATGGTTATAAAGACATTCAATCTGATACACTACAGCCTGGTTAGTCCTAGACCCGTTGGTTAATCCGTACGATATAGGCTACGTGAAAATATCATTGAGTTTAAAAACAACAAAGCATGATCGTTTTACATAGCTTTTTAACATGGCTATTAAAATGTAACTATGAATCTAAATCTTGTATTTTTACAATAGTGTTTTATAATGTATCTGCAAGCTCATAAAAGATCTTAAACATCAGCTTAACATTGTTTTACAAGACAATGTACATGTTGACACGACTAAAATGAAAGGTTAAAAATCCATTATTTTTAACAACCATACATACCCTACTGTAAAGCAATAGACTTCTATATAGTCATGATTTATAAAAGAATCAATTTCATATATAGGCCTACATGAAGAAATGGATGTATATTGCAACATGAAACACATTTATAGCTTTTTACGACAGAGAAAGTTCAGTTTATCCTCACAATTATTGGGTCTCCAAACATTATTTTGTCTATCCAGAGCTCCACAGCGCAGATTTCGGGCAGGACACTGGAGCTCCCCCTCCACAGACCAGGCTTTATATTGAAGATCATCACCACTGACCCAGAACCAATGACCAGCCATAAAGCGCAGTCCAGTCCACACATAAGCTGTCTGAGATGTTATAGTGTTATTTATCGCCTCTGCCATAATCCTCTGAGATCTTAGACTCGCCAGGTCAGTGTAGTTCTGTCTGCAGTAGTCCAGGGCTTCATCCCACGTCTTATTCTGACGCACCAGAATGAGCTCAAAGACATTCATACAGTAAAATGGTCGAGTCCGTGAGCACAGAGCATTGTGCAGTTTAGAATTAAATCTTCTTACAACACCACACTTTTCAGTCTCTAGGAGGTTTGGTTCTCCAATGTCCCAATTGTTGATGTTTTCATCCTCACCTCCAGACCAAATCCATTGTTCTCGGTTGTTAGGACTCATGTGCAGTCCAATCCAAAAATATTCATAAATGATTCCTGTATTATTAGAGAGCAGTTGTGCCTCTTCTTTAGTGACAGTGGACAGATCATCATGGTATTCTCTGCAGTACTTTTGTGCATCTTTCCAGGTCATGAATCTATTGACAAAGAAGTGTTTTCTGTAGACACTGAAGCTCAGTCTAAAAAAGAGACTCAAAAACAGGACCACGGCGACGGCAGCCTTCATTTCTACACAGATGATCTACTCTTTGTGTGTGCTCAGTGATAAAGGGGTGTCTTTTATTTCTGAGAGACAATAAAAACACTGGAAGGCACTGACCAACCAGACGGTCAGGCAAGTATCTGTGTATCAAGTATCCAAACCGTGCTTAAACAAAGATAACATGCAAGTGTAGAAAGGAAAATGCAAATTTGTGTTTTTATGTCTGTAAGGTTGTCACACGCACACACGCATGGCAGATTTTTTTAATGCAAGAACCCCCTATACCCACGAAAGTGCACTGAAACGGCAGTCAAACCCGTGACTTCCCACCTGTGAACTTACACTAGATCGATGTACTCCCAGTTATGAGCTCTGATGTCACATAGCCCACGAAACCATACAAAACAACAATGGCAGCCCCTACGGATGCAGTGTTTCTGCAGGCGGTACACGGTGTGAATACACTTTAGGACAATATAACGTTAGCTAGTTTTCAGTCCATTGAGTGCAAGGATAAATTAATACGAAATAAATATCCAAATGTACAAATAAAGTAAAATAAAAGGTATAACCGCTTATCTTGCCTTATGCACCGTTTTTTCCTCCTCAGTTTCCCTCAAATAAACAAGAAGTAAGCACCTTTGGTGACAGAATTTATTACAAATGTGCATAAGCCCCATAAGGTCCGCAATGCTGGTTTGTTTGCTACCACAATTCCTTGCGCTCAGGTAGTTTGGTGTGACTGGCCTGGAATCCTAGCCTGACTTCGTCATACTCATATTCAAGAAAGAATATGAGTCTGAAACTCCTCCATTGGGCTTTGATTATGAGGCTGAAGATCACCTGTCAATCATCGTATAAAGCCCTCCCTGGCAATTTGATTGGCCCGATGATTTCTGAACCAATCATAATTACTCCTCAATGGATCGAGTCCAGACCGAACTTCCCGTCCAAAAAAATGTTGTGGGCGGAGTTCGGGCTGGCATCCAGGCTACTGGAATGCTACAAAGTCATGTGTCTTGGTTTGACGTTGTGATTTACGTGCTCAAACCTGCCTAGAACGCAGCATTAGACGAGGAAGAAGATGATGGGTCAGAAATTTATGTGTACACCAAGCGTGCCGCACAAGCCCTCAAAACTGAAGCCAAAACGTCTCGATCGCCCCCCTGTGACCGGACCTAGTATAGCTCATAACCCCCACCTCCCCATGTTATTCAACGGGACGCGAGACCAACTAAACAATTAAATTACACTTCACATATCCTTTTTCCAAAGATAGTTTCTGTCATTTACTGTAGTTTCTATCACGGTGATGTAATTTCAAGTGTTCGTTTTTAAAATAAGTTTGATTTTAGTTAAATATGTGATGATAAAAACGGTGTTCTGACATCATGATTGACAGCTGTGATTGACAGGTTCTCTGTGCGAGGTAGTCACTGAAGCACCAGCGGACTTGTTGATTATGTGGTTTGTAGTTGTATTTACCTTATTTTAACGAGGTTCTGCAATCAGCAGACATCATTGGAGAAGAACGAAGCAGACAGAGGACACTTAATGAAAGTGCGGGGCGTGTGCTTGCGTTTGATTCAGCGAGAATGAGGGCAGGGCCTTGATTTCGCAGCTTTACTTCCTACTCACGACTGCGCATGACTGGTCCCGAAACACGTGTAACCCAGGGAAAAATTCTGTCCAAAATTTAATTAATTTTGCCCGGTCACCTGAACACACCCTTCATTTATATTTTTCATGCAAGAGTCACATGATAGTTCAGTGAGCGCTTCAACCAATCCTAGCACTCAAGCGCGGGTTTAGAAGCTGCGGTGAGTTCCCCAATCAGTAGTATGAAGGGGAAGCCACCGGAGCAGCTGCACTCGGTACGTCTCTGCACAAATAATGTTATTTTCCATCTTAAAGGCTCGGTTGACTCTAGCGTGCGATTTTGTATTTGTAGTGTCCATTACCGTTGTTTAGAAGCCGACTGGTGCCGCGGGGTGTCAATTATCTGCGGGAATTGGTGAGTCTGTTTGTTGCTGTGTCCAATAGCATGTTGTTGTTAGCATTTGGCATTACTGTGTATGTGTTCACTGGGATTCTCCGCTAGCTTAATGCTAATAGCATTAGTCATGCTATGCATCTTGTTAGTGAAGTTCTGCTGGTTTAATGCTAACAGCATTTATCTTTGAATGTATTTCTATGGGCTGTTCTAGCTGGTAGTATTAGGTTCCCAATTGTTCCTATGGAGTTCTTTTGGGTTCAATGAATTATGTAAATCATAAACCATGCACTTTATTGAATGTTAAGTATTTAAAGGCGTTTAAAGGTCTTAAATATTTAAAGGCGTTATTTATATTTTGAATGATAAATTGTATTGAGTGAAATGTAAATAATCCTAAATATGTGTGTTATTTATATGCATTTCAGTTTGTATTATTTTTGTCATTTAACATATTTATGACAATTATTTATGCAGTATTTGAATACTATTGTATTGTGTACACAAGATATATATTATTATAAACCTAGCTAGTAGATCAATTGTATGAGTAGTGACTAAATCATGGGTCCTGTTTATTTAATACAGGCCAGGTGTGACCAGTGCGGGCCAGTTGATGGCGAGCCATTATTTACCTGGAACAGAACCGGCCCAGTAACCTCATTGCCTTGTGGGGTTGGTAGGAGGCTATTGTAGTCTGCTCACCCCTTCTACTCTTATTCGTACACACACACTACTACACACTTAGAGCCATTAGATGAATTCTGGCTCATGGACTATTGCATCCTATGGACAATTCTTGTGTGTTGTGGACCGGTCTTTTTATATGAATATATTCTCCAGTTCTGAGTAATATTGTGCCTGGGTTTCTATGAACTATTGAACCTTTCTGCATGATTGGAGATTTTTGGGTATTGCGTTGTCGTTGTTGTTTTGTCTTTATGTTCACTTAATATATGGTACCAACACCAAACTGAACTGATCTGTTTTGTGTCTTTACTTACTCTATCAATGCCTCCTTGAGACGAACCCTTATCTTCTGTAGCCCAATTTTTACTTACCACCTTCTATAGCGATAGAATGGTTATACAATAATACACAATTCCCTATGGGAATATGTTACATAAATGACGAGCTCAGCCAGGAGGTTTTGAAAGGGTATTTAATATACACAAGTTTGAACATTCAGACTCACCAATATTATTTTGATCATGGATATTTTTGAAACACTTGACGTTAAAATACCAAATGCAGTATTGGTTACAGAGTCTGAAGTTGCTGAGGAAGTGGAAGGGTTTCTTCAACAGTATGGTAAGATAAGTCGTATCATTACTGTTGAGTCACCCGAGTCCGAGTTTCACAATATGCTCATCGTTGAATATGAGTCTGGCTTACCTTTAACCTTATTGAATCCACTCCTACCATATAAGCAAACTTCAGAGACAGGTATCGATTATTGCATTAAGAATCTTTCTCAAATATATACTGAAAATGTGGGAAGTTCTAAAACTCAGACATATTTAGCTGACTTAAAAGAAGTTGCTAAACTGACTGGACAAAATTATGCTGAAGTGCTGAACGAGATGATGGGCCAGATCAGTAGATCAATTTCAGAGCTTCAACCTGATTTAGAAGTTGGTATTAAAGCAGAACAGTCTTCAGTGAATACAACAACTCGGTCATCGTATAAAATGACTGCTCCATCTCTACTGTCCACCACGGCTCCTATAGCTCAGCCAAGGGAGCGACATGCCACCATCAACTTCACTGCTTCAGACCTCAACCCTCCTGAGTTACAAAGGTATGTGGTAGAACACATTGTCAAGTCTGAAGATACTGCTGTGCACTTGCGCTCTTCCCACAGACTCCGGGTGTTTTCTGGGAAGGTGCCACGACCACAACACGAAGTGGACTATGACACATGGCGGTCCAGTGTGGATCTGGTTCTCAATGATCCTGCCATGTCCGGAATCCAACGAACGCGACAAATTCTCGACAGCCTCCTGCCACCAGCTGCCGACATAGTGAAACATCTAAGTCCTGACATGTCTGTTAATATCTACATCCAACAGCTTGATTCCGCCTATGGGACGGTGCAGGATGGGGAGGAGTTGTATGCAAAATTTATGGACACTTTTCAAAATGCTGGTGAAAACCCTTCAGCTTACCTTCAGCGATTACAGGTTGCTTTAAATCTTGCAGTAAAGAGGGGAGGTGTACCAAAAGCTGAAATTAATAGACATCTTCTTAATCAGTTCTGCAGAGGATGTTGGGACAACGTCCTGATATCTGAACTCCAGCTTAAACAGAGAAAAGAGAAACCACCGGGTTTTGCCGAACTACTGCTGCTGTTAAGAACTGAAGAGGATCGCGAGGCCGCAAAGACACAAAGAATGAAACAGCACCTGGGGGGAGGCGGAGCCAGACAGAAAGTATCATCACAAGTCCAGATTGCATATGGAGAAGAAGAGAGGAAAAGATAAGAGACATTGACAAATATTACCACACAACTCACTGAACAGATGGCTGCAGTACAGCGTCAATTAGCCGTCCTAACTGCAAACCAGTTGCAGGGTCGACAGTCTTACACCCCAAGACCCAATCCGGTTCCTAAGTCACATGAAAAGCAGAACATGGCAGCTGCTGTGAGTAATCTTTCTACAAGTCCAAAGCCTGGGTTCTGTTTCCGCTGCGGAGAAGATGGACACATCAGGCCGCAATGTGAAAACCAGCCGAATTCGGAACTCGTCAGTGCTAAGAAAAGACAGTTCAGTGAAAAGAAACAAAAGTGGCAGAAGCGGAAACAACCATCACGTAATCAGTTAAACTAGACTCAGTTCTTGTTGGGGGACAAACAGGAACTGTGCTGGACTCACACTGTCCCGCAAAGTTGAAGAAGCCTGTTCAGTGCGTCACTCTCCAGCAGTCCAACCGGGAGGCAATAGTCCATCTCCCCAAGGGCCTGGTGGGGTCGAGATGCACCGCTGAAGTTGCTGTCTCTGGGCAAACCTGTCAGTGCCTTCTTGATACTGGTTCGCAGGTGACCACTGTATCTGCCTCTTTTTACAATGAACATTTGCAAGATCAACAAATTAACTCTCTACATAATCTATTATACATCGAAGGTGCTGCTGGACAGTCAGTCCCTTACCTTGGTTATGTGGAGATGGTGGTAAA